AACGTAAGCAGATGGAAAAACCCCAAGGTCAGCAAAGCCACGGGAGAGAAACCTTGTGCTGGCTGGGGGAGAGGCACGAGGGAACACCCCTGTGGGGGGGATCAGACACACCGTGGGCTCCTGGCACCTCCTCAGACAGCAGGCACTGTCACCTGTCACCTCCCCAGAGCACAGGTACCTGTCACCCCCCCCAAGGGGAGTCACCTGTCACCCGCCCAGAGCTCAGCCAGGCCGTGGGGCTGCACAAGGAGAAGCTCCCTGGGAGCTGCCAGCAGGTCTCAGGTAACAGTTCCGTGCCCTGAGCGTCCCAGGGAACTCTCAAAGCCACATTAACTTTAATGCTCACGGCAGTGTCGCTCCCACCGGGTTTTCCAGGGGCTGGGACGAGTCCCCCGCACCCAGGGGGGCTGTATGAGGGGTATCTGTGGCAGAGGTGTGTGAGCAGGGGCAGTTTTTGGGGGTCTGCTCAGCCAGAGGGAAGCTTGCACAGCCCTGGATTTCCAGCGTTTCACCCCCCTGGAACACACAGCCTTCCATTTCCCCCATAAAATACAAACAGATGGGATCAGGAGCGTGAGCCCACCTGAGCAGAGCCCCCAGCAGCCACTGCCAATCCCATTTTAATATTCCTAATGCACTTAATTATTGATTGTGAACAGCACACAGGTCCTGGCTGTGAGGGAGAAACAAGGCCGACCCCAAACATCAGCGTGTGACACAGCACAGGCCTCACACAGGCCTCACACGGCCCTCCCTGCAGCAGGTTTGGAGATAAAACACTTTACAGGAAAACCCAATTCCAGCCCCCTGTGCATCCTGTGAAAGGCCCCACTCACAGTCACCATGGTCACACTTCAGGTGGGTCCAAACCACACACCCACAGCTACAGCAAGGCAGCCAATCCCCCTGGAAACCTCGAGGCCTCCACCACTGTCCTGTCCTGGGGCCTTGTTTTCCAAGCAATCCCAAAGATCCTGAGCTAAAGCTGCTGTTTGCTCCTGAGCACCCGATTGCAGGGTCCCAGGACACCCGGCCCTGAGCTCCAGCTCCTGTCCTGCCAGGGAAAAAAAGGCACCTTCAGAAAGCCCAGATGGTCCTCACGAACTCAAAACTGAACCTTACTGAGGCCTCTAGAACGAAGCTCACTGAAAACTCCCAACACTACCAGAGGAAGGAGATCAGACAGAGCAACCAAAGCGGAGTTCGTATTCTAGGGGAACCCCCCGAACACCCCGAGGTGGGGATTGTGCTCCAGCTCCCTCTGAGCTCAGCCACAACATCCCCACCAGCCCATGTGCTCCCGGGCTGATGGGCTCCAGCTCCACTGCTCCCTTCCAGAACCTGCCTCGTGTGCTGCAGGGCCCTCTCACCACGCTCAGCCTGGGCTCGTGGCTCCCCCCAGCCCGAGCAGTTCCTCTTCCAGCCAAACGCTGCAAACCCAGATCCTCGAGACCCGTCACCGTCCTCCACGACAACTTTTATCCCTCTCGGGTGAAGCCACGGAACTTCCAGCTCAGAGCTGAGGTTGGCGATTCTCCCGCGGTGCCTTCGCTTAAGAGAGAGGGGAGGTGTTTCCCGAGCCTTTTTTTATTCGGAGGGTCTGAACCGCAGAGCACGTGTCGGTGTTTTGTGTTAAGAGCCCACCAGCACCACCACCACCCCCGAGGACCCCCGAGCAGCACCCCCCCCAGGCAGAACCCCCCCAAAGCAGGGACCCCCTGAGCTGGAACCCCCCCGACAGACCCAGCGCAGCTCCCCCCGTACTCCCAGCCCTCGCCCCCCCACCCCTCCCCGGGCCCGCAGCTCTTGGCTCCGCGCACGTTTCGGGACAAAACTCGGTGCAAAGTTTCCAGCGGCCGCCCGGCTCCGTCCGGCGAAGGCTGGAACGGCCTCGCCGAGCCCGTGAGAGGCCGCGAGGCGCCGCAGCCCCGTCCCGGGGCCTCCGGGGACACCGCGCCCGCCCTCCCCGGTGACCTCCAGGGCCGGGCCGGGCCGGGCCGCGCTCCGCGTCCCACCGGGCCCCGCCAACGGCGCGGCCGCCCCTTCCCCGGCCGCCAACCACCCCCGGGGGGTTTAATTAATGCAATTAACAAGGCGCCGCGCTCGGGCCCGGCGCGGCGGGGCCGGGCCGGGGAGGCCCCGGGGAGGCCCCGCGTGTCCCGCGTCACCTTCACGGCCGGGCCGCGGCGGCCCCCGAAGGTCACGGCGGCGCCTCCCGCGCTCCCGGAACCTTCCAGAGCGCCCCCCCGCCCCCAGCCCGCCGCGCCCGGATCTGCTGTGTCAGCCCCGTCCCCTCCCCCGGCGCGGCGGGCGCGGCGTGCGCGGCCTCCCCGCCGCCTCCTCCTCCCGCGCCACATGGCCCCGCGCGCCGCCGCCGCCGCCGCCACCGCCTCACCTCCACGAAGAGCAGCATCGCGCCGCCGCGGCCGGCGGGCCCCCCGCGCTGCTCCCCCCGCGGTGGCCGGAGCGGCGATCGGGACACGGCGGGACACGCGGGCTCCGCCTCCGGCCGCGCCGCCCGGCCCGGCCCGGCCCGCCCCGCCGACACCGCCGCCTCTTCCGCCCGCCGCGAGCGCGTCCGGGGCACGGCCGGCGCGAACCATTCCCCCGCGCGGGGAGGGGGGAGCGGGGAGGTTCCCGCAGGGCTCCGCCAGGGGGCGCGGCGGCTGCGGTGCCGCGCGTGGGAAGCGCCCCCCCCTCCTTCTCTCCGTCGGGGGGGGAATGGGCGGGTCCGGTGGCGCGTGGGGGGAAATTGTTGGGTTTGGGGTTTTTTTTTTTTGGGGGGGGGGGGGGGGGGGGGGGGGGGGGGGGGGGGGGGGGGGGGGGGGGGGTGTTGTGATTTGGTTGGTTTGGGGTTGTTTTTTTTTAATTACGGGACACAAAATACTTTTATTTTCCCGTTTTCACACACACACACACACACAGCCCCCAGGCCAGACCCCGCAGAGACCCCGCCGCGCACGTGGCTCGGGGCAGGATTGTCCCCTTCCCCCCTGGGAATGTCCCAGGATCGGGATTTTCTCCAGACAGCCCCGGTGTAGACGGGGCAGGAACCCACGGCAGGGTCCTGGTGAAGCCAGGCCCTGGTTCTTCGTGGGAAGGGCTTGGCTGAGCCCACTGGAACCCAAACGATCCATCCTGTGCCTTGCACAGGTCATGCCCCCGCTGCAGGTTGGACACACCTGAGCTCAGGCATCACACGGCGCTGAGCAAGGGCCAAACCTCACCCACGGAAAGCCCCGAGCACCGAATCCTGCCCTACACCCCGACTGTGCTCTGAGGAGAATCCCTGGCAGGAAAACACACCCTGAAACAACTTTGCTTCGGGGGGAAAGATCCACAGAATTCGTTACAGAACACTGAGGGGAATCTTGTTATTTTGGGTGATCAGGAAGAGTTCTGTAACAACATTAAAACATTCTGGTGTGAGTGGAGGATGGAGTTTCCAGCCCTGGGATCCCTGGGATGCTGCTGTGGATCGATGCCCTGGGAGGGACCCCACCGACACCATCACCTGCAATTAGGGCTGGGCAGATCTGGGTGGATAAGTCAGAGCCAGGGAATAATCAGGGTCCATTGAGGAGATTAGACAGGGAGCACAAGCTGCCTGGGAAACACAGCCCAGCTGGCAGGTTCTGTGGTGTTCCACGGGCAGCAGCTCCGGGACACGGAGGAGTGAAAGAAAAGGAAATTGGAGGAGTAGAAATTAAATAAATTGAATAAATAACTTGGAGCAGGATAAATGGGACTGCAGATTCTGCTCTGGAACCCTCTCTCTGTCAGGGGCTGCCCGGCCTCAAACCAGCTCAGGATATTCCAGGAGTCTCTGATTTAGGGAGACCTCATCGTTCCAGTGTGGAACTGAGATTTTCTTCCTCCTCCTCCTCACCCCCTTTCCCCACCAGATGCCATCGAGCTGAGCACTTGTCATCTCCAAAGCCCTTTGCAACCATTAGCTCGTTAATCCTCACACCCCCCCTGAGGCAGAGGCAGGTCAGCATCCCCCTGGCCCAGAGACATCCCGAGCTCCAAAGCTGCTCCTTAATTTCCAGTGTTCTCAAACAGAGCCCCCGAAGGGACGGAGGAGTCGCGGCACGGAACGGTTCAGAGCCCCAATTCCAGACCTGCCGAGCACTCCCGACCCCAGGCTTTGCTGGGAGGTAAATTATCACTAATGCTGGGATTAGAGCCTTTCCCAGCCCTTGGTTCTGCCCCTTCCATTGGAACGCTCAGCTGGTGAGGGGCGGGTTTGGAATCCCGGCAGGAACAAGAGTTCCCCCTGCTCAAAGTGCTCCAGGGAAGCGATGGACACACCGGAATGAGAGCCCCAGGGTGAGAGGGCACAGCAGGAAGCTCCTTTCCTACAGCAGGCCCTCACCCAGCTCCCTGAAACGAGACTGCAGAGGGATTTATTTCTTGTTAAAGGTCGAATTATCTGATGTGAGCTGGTGCCAGTAAAAACTGGGATTTCCTGTCCTCAGCCTCCCTCTGCTCGCTCTGTTGACTTTCCCTTGCTTAGGGTGCAACTGCTGGACTCATCCCTCATTCCCTAGGAGAAGACAGTGATCCAGCTGGATTCAGGGGCATCTCCCCCGCTCCTCTGGAGCAGGAGGAAGACAAGGACTGTGACACAGCCACCTGAACAGCGAGCAGAGCCTTTCCCAGCCCTCGGAGCCACCAGCACGGGATGTTTTTGGCACCCGCCGACTTCAGGGGAGGAAACTCCACCTCGGGGTAGCGCCGAGGGCACCGGGAACTCGGCCGGGGGAGGCCAGGAGTGAATGTTGCAACCAGGAGGCAGAGGGTGCAGGAGCAGCAGGAACTGTCAGCGGCCTGGGGCGGCCGTGCTGGCAGAGATTGATGACTCCTGGGTGTGAGCTGGGACCTCCTGCCCGCCAGCCCCAAGGTCTGGGCGCTTCCTTGCAGTGGGAAGTGCTGCTCCCTCCTCCCTGGTTGTGCTGAAATAAGAAGGCAGATTCCCTTTTCCTGGTGCTTCACCTCTGCTCCATCCATGCCCTGTGCCTGCAGAGCTGATGCCAAACACGGCTCCACCACCTCTTGGCCCCAGTGTCTTGTCCAAAGGTGCTAAATTTGGTTACCACACCCCTGCTATCAGCGAGGAGCAAATATTCCGAGACAGGGAATAAATACTGAGCTGGCAGCACTGTCTGTGCCCCAGCTCTGGCTCCCTCCTCCCAGACAGCCAGGGAGCCTTTGGGATTACAGGGTGTTCCCACCACGGGGCTCTGCCAGGGCCTCCTCGGTGGCTCCATCACAAAAGGGCTCAGCGGGCGGGTGGAAACATCTGGCTTCGATTCTTCTTTAAAGCCACGACTTTCATTTGGCCACCAAACCACTTCCCTTTCATCTCTCCGGAGGACCGACCCTGTGGCAGGGCTGGCTCTGCCCTTCCCCTGCCTCGTCCTGCAGGATGAAGGTCCCAGAAAATCCAGGGCAGAGATTTCAGAGAGGCAGCAGCTCCCAGCTGACACATTCCTGCCCTCCTCCCTCCCCAGAGCTCCTTTTCAAGTCCTTTCAAGGCACACATTTCTCTGTCAGCCCATCTCCAAGGGGCTCAGATCCAGTTTAGACTCGATTCCTCCCTTCATTCCCTGGGATGAGAACCCAACCTCGAGGAATCCGTTGTGCTGAGCAGGCCAGAGCGTGCCCTGGGGCTGGAGGGAGAAGATTTGTCTATTTGGAAATCCCTTTCACTGAGGATGCTGAGGGTTTGTGGCAGGGCTGGCAGGCTGGGAAGAGGGCTGGGAAAAGGCCTGGCTGGCTGGGAAACACAAGCAGAGGAGTTTCTTCAACAACACTTGGCTGATAATTCTGCTATCAATAAACAATTACCCGAGCAAAGAGATGCTGTTTTGAACTCTCGAGGTGTTTTTGTGCAGCAGAAGAGGCCTGAGAAGCAGGAATGTTGGAGGTTGGAGAGATCAGCTGCCATCACATGATCCCGGGCCGCCTGTAACCACAGCAGAGTTTTATCCAGAGCCAGCGAGACTCTTGGCTCTGCCTCTGGTCCTGAGCTCAGCAGAGATTGTGCCGTCGTGTTTTCACAGCCTTCCATCGACGCTGAAGTGGCTGAGTGGCTCTGCAGGCAAAGCTGAGCCCCAGCAGTGTGGGAGAGGAGCCTCAGGAAGCCTCGGGCAGCTCGGAGCCATCGTGGGGGCTGAGCCCAGCACGCCGAGCAAACCCACGGAGCTGCAGCTCCAGGGGCAGCCAGCCCCGAACAATCCATCTCCCGTGGCAGGGCTCTGGCTGCACCCAAAGCCTTGGCAGTGCCGGGGTGTGGAAACTGTGGCAATAATACCAAATAAACCAGCTCTTCCCATCTGCCTCCTGCCTTCGCTCTGCCCCGGGGAAAAGGGTTTACCTTTTTTATTTAATCAAATCAAAATAATCCAATAAAAAAAAAAAAAAAAGAACAAATAATCGACGTGGGGAGCAGCAGGACAGTAACAGGCTCACATGGATTCACAGCTGCCTGGGAGGAGCAAGGAGCCTGGGCCTGCCATGGGACAGGGAATCCCTTTCTGCAGCCCAGGTGGGTGTTTCGGTACCTTGCTGCACCGTACTCCAGCCAGGAAACCCACTGGGGTGTCCAGCCATCAGAAGCTGACCTCCAGTGGTACGTGCAGGAGAGCTGAGGTGTCCCTGTGCCACCTTCCCACTGCTCCATCCAGGGTCAAGACTTCCTGGCAGCGAGTGAATCAGCGGGAGCAGGAAATGCAGCTGCCAGGCTGACTCAGCGTGGCTCCCTGCTGGACCTTGGACAGCTGGAGCTGGGCAGGACGTTAATGTTTAACTCCACTGGAGTCTCCAGCTTAGCAAAAGGCCTGGGAGACACCAGCAGAAGGCAGGGACATCCTGCTTTGCAGGAGCTGTGCTGCTGAAGGTCCCTCAGGGCTGCGCTTGTGCCCCAGAGGCGAGAAAGTCTGAAGGCAAAAAAAAAAAGTCCAAAGGGCCCTGTGACGTTTGATAAGCCCCAGGAAAGAGATGGATAAAGGGAATGGCATTAATGAGTTCATCTGGCCAGCCCTGCCCTGCCCTGGGCGCACCAGCTTGGGGCAGACCCACACCATCAGCAAAGGAAAGCTCCTAGGTTGTTGGGGAGATGATGTTATCGACTATCTGAGCAGGGTGACCAGCCTTGCTGCTCTTCCCTCCTTCTCCAGGGGTATTTAAATCCATACAAGGCTGTCTTGGCTAAGGAGGAGCACACAGTGCCTCAGGGGGAGGGCAGGACCCCAGACTTCAGCGCCAGCTCTGGTTACTCAACAGTCAGGCTGGATTCCTGTTCCTCACTTCACCCTTGTAAAATGGGGATGGTGCTTCCTGAATTCCCAGCGCTGCCAGAGTCACCTTCCCGGGGCTAATGAGGAAGATCCAAAAACACTGCATGAGTGGCTGCGAAACACTCCCTTGTCAGAGGACCAGGAACCCTGGGTTTCCTGCTCTCCAG